GTGTGCATCTCCTGGTCGTCGGGCGGCGAAAATCATGTCACTGGTGCTGCGATGACGACACGTTGGTTTTCTGGTAGGAGTCCTTGTCCCGGGTGTTTATTGAAACGGTTTAGGAGAACACGAGCGAAGATTTTGCAGGTGGTGTTGAACAGTGAGATTCCGCGATGATTGTGCCAGATTTGGCGGTTCACCTTTCGCTTGTAGAAGTGGATAACTAGGGCGTCTGTGAAGTCTTAGGGGACTTGGCCTTGTCGCCACATCGCCTGGAAGAGCGTGGCTAAGGGAGATGAGTTGGTGGCCGTCGTGTTTGTAAATCTCCGCAGGGATTGCATTAAATCCGGGCGCTTTCCTGCTGAAGAGTTGTCGCACGGCCTTGATGGTTTCCTGAGGGGTGAGTGGGAGATCGAGGTCAGTGGTGGCGGCATCAAAGATGGTGTAGGGACGGTTGAGTATTCTTCGAAAGTGCTCAGCCCAGCGTTTCAGAATCTGTGTCTTCTCAGCCAGTAGGGTTGTTCCGTCAGCACTAAGAAGAGGAACTGTGTCTTTAATTGTAGGACAGTCTTGCTCGCAGCGAAGACGTTCTTTCATTCATTGCTGTCCGCGTAACCTTGGACTTCCTCGCCTTTGCGAGCCGTCCAAGCATTCTGCACTTCCCGCAGCTGCTGTTATACAAGACGGCAACCTTGATGGAAAACTGCTTCAGTGATGTTGCGGGGCGTTCAACATAGGCTTTGTGCAGGTGGTTCTTCTTTACGAGCAGATTGCCGATAACTAGTCCTGTTGTTAACGGCTTGCGTGGCCAAGAACACGATGGGCAGTGGATTGAACAGTGTCCCGTAGTTGGCACCATCCGTTCTCCGTTCAGCAAACTCGTTGTTGAAATGCAGATGGCTAGCAGGAAAATTTAACAAAACAGTATGCAACTTACCTGGGAATCGTTTACCTTGAGGTTTCCTGCGTGGTTGAAGGCGGATCCTCAACTTGAAGATGACGAGGCGACGATCGGTCCATCCGTCGGCATTGCCATTGTCACCAGCACGTCCTACTGGTCACGCCACCGGTCGAGGTGTCACTGCTGGGACCGGGGATGCATCCAAGGCGCCTTATGCTTCAGCGGAAAGCGAAAGTAGGGGTTGGTTAAGACGAGGCGGTGGTCTGCGCAGGTTCGGAGGAGGAGTAGGCCATTGTCCTTGAGTCTGTGGGGACCCAGACTTACTCTCTGGGCAGTATGATCTGTGCCGATGCGAGCGCTGAATTTACCAAGAACAGTTAACTGGTCCGTCTTCGGCGCAGTCGCTAGGAGGGCGTGCATGTCATAGAACTTGTTCTTTGTTTTATCTGAGTTGGTCAT